GAGGAGTGTACGTATATACATGATATGTTGATTTAAGAATGGTGAATATATGAATGTTATATGAAAGTATGCTATGTGTATGACCATAGTGTTTTGTAAAAGTTGTGAACATGTAATTGATGTATACAAAGGTGATTAGGTGTATGAAAATATGGAATAATAAGAACTATGGATATGTGTATGATAATATGTCTGATGATTAACCATGATAGTTTATATGAATATGTAAGAGGAGTATGTGTGAAGTGTTTATGGGATGTGGTGAGAAATGTGGCATATATGTATTTATGATTGTTTTTATACATAATTATATGCATTGATTATTATGATAATATTTCTCACATTTCTGCTGGAATGATGTCCTACATGACATCGTGCAAGTATCCAGAGTAGAGTTGCTTGTGGTTTCGAGGTCGCTACCGGTGTAGCTGTTTAGTGATTTAATTATGTTGGGTCGAGTCATGCTCTGGTCATGTAACACTGAGATCGCTTGGGTTATGTCTTAGAGATATACTATGTTTTCATGTTTATTAAAATAATAAGAAGTTGGCCTTAGTGCCCGAGTGTTGTTGAGTTATGTGATGAAAACAAATATTTCTTTTATGAAATTATTGGATAAATGAATCCGCTGCTACATGCAAAGTGAAAAATTGTAAAACATGATTATTTATTGAAGTGTTAATGAGCATGGTAGGTGATTTTGATGTTTTGGAAGTTATGTGTGACGCCCTTTTGTGAATGCATGTAAAATTTACTCTGATTATGCATATATTTTCCGTGGGGTTTAGAAGGGTGTTACAACAATGACTTAACATACATTTGAATTGCAAGACTGAAGTGGATAATTAATTTTAGTGCCATATACTTTATTATGTTTGTTGAATTTATGTTTTCATGTTTTTTTTGTTGGATTAGTGTTTTTGTTTATGTGATATTTGGTTCATGTCTGTATTGATTTTCTTCAATTTCGAATGTCGAATGTCAGGAGTACTGACATATATCTTTCAGTGATATGTTTATGAACTGTAATGGTCTAGTTGTAAGCGAAGAAGATGACAATTTTTCTTTTTAGAAACATATGTTTACAGGGTATTTTCTCTAAATTGAGATGCCTAATATTGTTGCTTGTGTTTGAAGAAAGAATATAAAGTCCTACTCAAGTATGTATATATACAAGCAAGTCACATAATTGAATTGAGTTTGTATAATATGTTTTCTCTTCTTTCTTATTTTATAATGTGTAAAGTATGATTTTAAGAGAAAAATTTTTTTTTTTTTTTATTTTTGAAATTTTATGTTGGGTTAAGTTGTTTTTTAATTTTAGGACTTTTTATATATATTTTTAAAAGTTATTTTTTATTTTTAGAATATTATTAATAGAAATTTTTTATTTTTTTTTTGTTGAAAAAACTTTTTTAAAAAAGTTGTTTATTTCTTGAAATTTTTAGTATATTCTTTTAATTTTTTTCATTCAATTTTTTATTTATTTTATTTTTTAAAATTAAGTTTTTTTTTTTTATTTTATTTGGGGCCTTATGACCCCCTTTTAAATTTGGGGCCTATGAATTTAAGGGCTAGCTATTCTTAAACTTTTTTAGGCCCTCTTATTATGAGTTTTATTATGGGGCTGATGCCTAAATTAATTCGAGAATTTTTTATTCTACCCTGGGTTCTTACGTATCATGTGCGTTTTCAATAATACCTTCTGCTTTTGGAGATGTATTTCCGGACGTATTTTTGTTATTCAACGTTAGTTTTTTCTGGAGTTACATTTACATAATGTTTCCATTTATATAGCTCGGAACAAATTAGAATACATGCGCGCCAGAGTATCTTCTCTTTCCTCATTGTTCATTTTTCATCTTCTCGTTCTCAAACTCTCCAAACTCTTTCAACTACAAAAAATCTTTTTCCACCAAACTTCACTATTTTCAATCAAGTTTGACAAGAAGCGTTCATTTCAACAATCAAGAAACACCAACACATTCAAAGCTCGATATAATCGGTAAATTTTCGAGTATTTCCCGTAAACGAGTTAGAATATAGTTTTAGGGGTAGAAATCCTTAGATAGTTTTAGAAACATAGTTTTGAGACAATGTAGGTATTATTTATTGGCTGAAACAAACGATCATGGCTTCAAAAATCACATTTGCATGGGTAGGGGATGCCATTGTCGTAACCTTTGAGTTGCAGGTTTTTTCGGATCTACATCTACAGAACAATTTAACGTTAGGGCACTTCTGCAGATGTAGTTCCGGAATAATCCAAACATTGAACATTCTGGATTCTTCTGTAGATACATCTATAGAACTTGTTCCGTGTGTATACCCGAAAGTATAAAATGTTAATTTTTTTTTTCATTTTTCATTTTTTTGATTTATTTGTATCTAATTGTTTTTTCTTGGTTATTCTGTTGCAGACATTATGAAAGACAGAGACAATAGATTGCGACTTAGACGAGTTTCGCAACATGCATCTGTGAGACGCGAGCGGAGCCAGACCACCGTTACCGAGGCCGATACAACTGAGGCACAACCTACGGGACATCCTTCTTCATCACATGTTCAGGACATTTCCTCGACCCCGTATCCCACCCATCATCAACTTCTTCATCCCGGAGACGTCAAGATTCAGCTGAGGGTTCATCACAAGCCCCGTCATCCTGCAGGCCTCGACGGGATACTCCAGTTCCTCATCTTGTCGATGATGTTACTCCTGTTCCATCTCTAGAGGGTGATGACCCTTCACTGGAGGATGCTGGTCACGACGACGATGATGAGCCTGAGGGTTTCCTAGGGGGTCCCTCAGATATGTCCCAGTTGACAGGGTACGATGACCATACATGAACGAAAGATATTACCTTTGGAGCAATCACAAAAGGCTTGATTCCAGGATGCCCTTTTTGCCTATGGTTTAAAGAACCTTTGTGAGATCGGTTATACCCTGATCCACAACGGGATGCTGATGGGATTTGCAGAGAGATGACACTCTGAGACGTCCTCCTTCCATCTACCGCATGACGAGCTGACTATTACACTGGACGACATCTCCTGTCTGTTGCATATACCGATCAGGGGTACTCTCCTCCGTCACGGTAAGATGACGAAGGAGGATCCGAGAGAGATGTGATTGAAGAGCTTTGGGCTGATCCACTGCAGGCCCTTGAGGAGGTAGATAAGACCAGAGGAGTTCATTTGTGGTTCTCATTTCTTACACGTAGATTTTGTGAGGCGCTCGCTGCTGCACGCCAGATAGATGGTGATCCAACTAAGGTTGAGATACACAAACAGCGTGTGCTGAGGTGTTATTTTCTATTTTTAGTCGGCACACAACTGTTTATGGACACTTTCTCCACATATACTAATGTCGCTTACGTGAGGCACTTTTTGGATTCCACACGGATCCATGAGTACAACTGAGGGGTAGCTATCCTGGCTTACACGTACTCAAGGCTGGGAGAGGGATGCCTGTGGAAAACTAGGACTATGGCAGGCAACATGTCACTACTTGTGGTAACAATCTTATATCTTGATAACTTTTTTCATTTCTTTTCATTCTATATTCATGATAATGCTTGATCCTTATGTTTTTTTTTTAATTTTCATTTCAAACTTAGATATTCCAGCACTTTCCTGTGATTGCCGGGTGGGGGAGTGTGTCTGATTACATAAAGTAGATGTCGCGTGCCTTTATCCCGCTCAGGGGGAACCAAGTGGTCGACCCTTACAGAGTCTATCTCGATCGCTTGGTTGCTGAGGACATCCGCTACGACGTCTATGCTGATCACCGTGAGACGCGCCCGTTTGGCGACATATCACTATTCTCAGGATGACTGGCATGCAGTTCGACCATCACTGTTCCATATTTGCCTGAGCGCGTCATGCGACAATTTGGGTACGCACAGACGATACCCAGACACCCACCTGTATCCGCTCCTTTCGGCTTGACCCGTAGGCAGATAGACGAGATCTTTGTTGACTACTAGACGCACATGGTACCGAACGAGGCTTGGGCAACCAGAGGGTTGAGAGACTAAAGCTACGTTGATTGCTACATCATATGGTTCTTCACCGTCTCACACCCATACATGGTGCCCACTGCAGAAGGATCACCGTCCAGACCAGCTCATCAGGAGATCTTAGAGGAGTAACAATCTCAGTTATACCACACTCAGGATGTCCTGCCTCGCTATTGTTAGATAGTGGAGATGAGGCTGTTAGGCATTGCCGCCAATTTCTTCTCTGATGGGTCTGACCACAGACGTGTATTGGATGAGATCATTAGGTGGCACATAGGCACTTATGTAACGCAGACGTCACGCTAGGACGAGTGAGATCGATGATCGAGGACGCAGACCAGACGGTCGAGGAGGCGGTAGAGACAAACGAGACGACAGAGGCACAGGCAGAGGAAGGGATGCAAATGTTGTCAGGCACACACAGTAGTGACTGTGATGTGTTTTTTGATGTATATATTTTGATGACATTTATGTACTATTTTTTATTTATGATTATGACATATTACTTCTCATATGTATTATAATATTTTATTACAGATGTATGTTATTTTATATTCATTTGCAACAATTAATTTTCATCTGCGACCAACAAAATTTAATTTAAAAAAAAACTGTTATAATAACATTTAAAAAATACATTTACGGAATCATTTTCGTATATATGTCTCTGAAAACATTCAACATAAAAAAAAAATAGTGCGTTCGAATATATATATTCAAAAATAAGAGACATAAAAAAAAATTAAAAATAAGAGACAAAAAAATTTCTCAAAGTGCCTAAACTATTAAGAGATAGATTAAGAAATTCTCTTGGCCCCATAATTGGACTATGACAACTAGTTTATCCTATTAACTTTTGCAATTGCCAACAACGCGAGGGAACAACACTCTCCGCCTACCACAATTCGATAATACAATTCAACTAGTATAAATAATTCAACAGTTAAGTCTTTTTGACTTTCGATAAATTATACCAAGGTTATGGCTTCTTTATTATCCAACATTAAAACACCACTTCACTTTCACTGCTTCAAAACCCCTTTCTCTTTCGGCTCTTCTCTTCCATTGATTCCATCCCTTTCTTACCACTCCAACAACCCAAAGTTGTTTCATTCTTCTATCTCTTCCCTCAAAGCTACTGCCGCTGCTTCCGATTCGGCTGCTGACAATTTGCTTGAAAAGCATGTTCTTTCGCAAGGGAAAGAAATTGTGGAGGAACATTGCTATGATGAACAACAGCAGCAACACAATAATTCTGAAGAACAAGAGCAAGATAAGCGGGTTCGTTGGAAAGATCCAATTTTACAAGATACTGTTTCGTTGGTTGGGTTTGTCAAAATGATTCTTCATTCTGGACGGTAAGTTTTTATTAATTATTTTTATCTTTAAATTTATCTGATTGTTACTTTTCTATGGATGCATCATGCATATGTTCTGTCTCCATTTATCTTATAATACCTTGATGTGATTTCATGCACTAGATATGAAAATGGTGAGAAACTAAGTCCCGAGCATGAGAAAATGGTTCTTGAAAAGCTGCTTCCTTATCATCCACATTATCAAAAAAAGATTGGAACTGGAGTCGATTATATAACGGTGCGTACGTCTCTTTTTGCAAAATGTGATTTAGCTTCTCAGTTTGGCCATCTAATTCTGGATGATGAACCATGCTCGTTTGTAATGTCACCTTTTGCAACCCAACAAGCTCTTTCCACTCAAAAGTTTAAGATCTCAGCTGCTGTTAGGAACCCGAAATTAAGAGAGAAAATGAGATTATGACTAATTCTTGATTCAATTTTACATTAGGGAACAATGTTTACAATTGAATCTCAATCACACCACTTTCTCTTCCTATTAGGATTGTTGAGAAGTGAGAACTAGTATGGTATTTATAAGAAAACTAAACCTTAACTTTCAACTAACATAGTAAACAACTGGTCCAACATACTGTCCAATTTGACATGCTAACAACCTAGCATATTTCGACAGCTACACCAACTCTTACAACACTAGCTTATCAACCATACTTTACATTTCTGCATCGTTTTCTTTATTGAGCCCCAAATTTTTTCATCAAAGCTATGGAAAATGATGTCCAGTTAACATCAAAGTTGTCTTGATACCAAGACTGAAACCACAACCTAGCAACACCCTCCATTCTCATGAATGCTCCTCCCTGCACATATCAGAATAATGGATTTTCTGCTCCGGAAAAACTGTTCTACTTTGATGATCCATCCGATGGGGTCTTCACCCACAAATTCTGGCAGACCTTCATTCACAAACCAATTGTAGTATTCTTTCATCTCGAACACCGGCTCTCCGTCGATAATCCGGTAGGATAAAACAAAATTACTATTTTGCCTTTATTTCTTAAAAGGTTAAACCAAATTTTTTCCTCTATTTTCCTTTCACTCGTTCATCAGACAACGTCTTCTCTCTGTTTCTTCTTGTGCCCTAACGTCTTCTCTCTGCCTTAACGTCTTTCTCTCTATTCGTCTGTCTTTCTCTGGCCGGCACCCCCCTCCTCCGTTCGTCTCTCTCCGGCCCCCATCTCTGCTCCTCCTCCTCTTTTTCATATTGCAAGTCCTTCTGTTTTTCGCTTGTGTTGTTAAGAACTTTCCTATTTTATGTTTCTGTTTATGTTTAATGTTGATTTATGCATGAGTTCTACTCCTCTGTTATGTTTATGTTTAATTATCATCTTTATACATGAGTTCTTTTTGTTTATGTTTAATGTTCTACTCCTCTGTTATGTTTATGTTTAATATTCATCTTTATACATGAGTTCTTTTTTTCTTCATGTTTATGTTTAATACTCATCTTTATACATGAGTTCTTTTTGTTTATGTTTAATGTTCTACTCCTATGTGTAATGTTTAATGTGTTTTGCTTCATCTATGAGTTCCTTTTTTTTTTCTTTCTTAATCTATTGTTTATTCATTAATGAGTTTTGTTTATGTTTTATTCTTAGACAATATGACAACATCTTCTTCTACACCAAATTCTATTTCGGTTGTTTCATATGGTCAAACCTTCCAAATTCTATTTCGGTTGTTTCATATGGTCAAACCTTCGAACCAAACGGTAGTAATATTGACATAGCATGACAATATAATCATTGGAAGGATATAAATAACAAGAAGAAGAAGGTGACATGTGATTTTTGTAATCTAACTAGTCGTGGAGAATTAGTAGAGAAAAAAAAAAGTAATGTATTTCCTTGCTTGAAAACTCTGGCAGAAGTTAAAGCAATATTACATGTCGATATGGTTGAGAAAGAGAGAATTAAAAGAGAAATAAAAGAGGTGATGGTGCAATTAGATGCGTATAATACAAATGATATTGATGAAATAAGTCGAATTCGAAGCGAAAGAGGCTTGCTAGACATCTTCCATGGTTGTTAAGAAGACCAAAGGACTATTGGATTTAGTCTTTAAGAAGACTAAGACACAAGCATCAATGATGTGTGATAAAGAAGCGAGGGCAAGAACCGTACAATATATTGTCCGCTTTGTTTATAATTGTGGGGTTGCTTTTAACGTAGCAGATGCAAAAGCATATAAGCAAATGATATAGGCAAATGTTGGAAGCCGTTGGAAGCTATGGTCTTCATTTGAAACCGCCAAGTTTTCATGAACTTAGAATCACGAGGTGCAAAAGAATAAATATGGATGTTCAATTATGTCAGATGGCTGGTAAGATAGAAAAGGTAGAACCTTATTAATTTCTTGGCCAATTGTTCGGTGGGAACGGTGTTTGTGAAAAGTGACGATGCTTCTAACTATGCCAAGACGGGGATAAGCTAGCTAATTGTTGGACACTTCTGCTGAGGAAATGGATGAACCAAATGTTCAAATGTTCAATTGATTACTGACAATGGAAGTAATTATGTAGCTGCGGGTAAAATCTTAACTTCCAAAGGCCAAACATGTTTTAGACTCCATGTGCAACCTAGTGTATAGACCTTATATTAGAAGACATAGGAAAAATTCCAAAGATTGATAAGGCTATAAAAAATGGAGTTAGGGTTGTGGGTTACATTTATAACCACACATTTGCCTTGAATCTAATGAGAAAGACTATTGACAGAGAGATGTTCACTTGTGATGAATGGGTGAGTTCCAAGTGTGCCAAGGATGCTAAAGGAAAAAAGACAACTAATACTATATCCCGCAATGGGTTACATATATAACGCAATGGGGGTAGCGAAGGAATCAATTGAGAAAACTTTCAATTTAAATTCAAGTAAGTACAAAGTCGTATTTGACATTATTGATAAAAGATGTGAGTGTAAACTTCATCATCCGTTACATTCTGCAAGTTACTATCTCAATCCTGAATATTTTTATGCGAAACCTGAAATTGAAAATGATCCTAAATTGATGAGAGACCTCTGTAAATGCATTGAGACTTAGTAAAAACAATGATGTGGAAGACAAGATTTCAATACAATTGACACAGTACAAGGTGCTATAGGTCTCTTTGGTTTAAGAGCGACAATTAGACAAAGGACGACATTAGCTCCAGATAAAATAAAAGTTAATTTTTTTTTTATAATTATTGAAATTTGGCAATTAGCTTTAAGTCGACCAAAGTTATTAATAGACTATTGTACTAATAATTATATAATAGTCTATAAAAATGTCATATACTTAATGTAAAACTAAACAAATAACACAACATTCAAAAGATTTATAAAACCTAATGTCAAATAACAATGCTTAATCAAGATTCAAAATATTATAGATGATTCAAAATATAGTAGAATATTTAAAACATCACATCTTAAAATTCAAACTTAGAACTATTATATGAAAATTCAAGCAAACATAAAAATCAAAGATCATCATTAAAGATGTATTCTTCATAGATCATCAAAATATTCCTCCAATACTTCATCATCATCATCATCATCTTCTTTAACATCTTCTACCACCACTTATTTATTCTTAGATGTACTTGCAATTTCAAGTAGCCTTAACCTCCTAGTGTAGATTACAGGCTCATTAACCCCACTTGTTTGGGCAACTTATGCCCAAATTAAATCACCATTTTTATGAACCAAGTCTTCTTCTAAAGGTTCACCATCTTCTCCTATCTCTCCCATCTCCTCCACCAACCATTGAGTGTGATAATTAATTGTAAGATAATGGAATCCTTGTCTTTCTCATTGATCTGAATAGAATATATATACATCAATGTGTAACCTTTGGTCAACTATCTAATAATGATACAACCTAATTATAGGAAGTTAATTATGACTAATTACAACAAAATATTCTATTCTATCACACCCCCGCAGTTGAAGCGGGAGGTTCACGGACGCTTAGACTGGTCCGAAAATCATCAAAGAGAATGCGAGGAAGTCCTTTGGTGAAGATATCTGCGATCTGATGTCTTGAGGGAACATGAAGGACGCGGGCCTGACCACGAGCCACTTTTTCCCGAACAAAATGAATGTCCATCTCAATATGCTTAGTGCGCTAATGCTGCACAGGATTACCGGATAGATAGATGGCACTAACATTGTCACAATACACCAAAGTGGCTTGAGGAATAGGAAAATGGAGTTCCAGAAGAAGGTTGCGAATCCAACACGATTCGGAGACAACATTCGCAACCCCCCTATATTCGGCTTCAGCACTGGAACGGGAGAGTGTTGGCTGCCTTTTGGAAGACCAAGAAATAAGGTTGTCACCTAGAAAAACACATTAACCAGAAGTGGAACGTCTGGTGTCAGGACATCCACCCCAATCAGCGTCAGTGTAGGAGATAAGCTTTGTAATGGGAGATGGGGATAAATGTAGTCCAAAATGTAAAGTTCCCTGAACATAGCGCAAAATGCGCTTAAGAGCAAGCATGTGTTCTGTGCGAGGGGCATGCATGTGAAGACAAACTTGTTGGACATCATATGATATGTCAGGTCGAGTGAAGGTGAGATACTGTAGGGCCCCTGCAAGACTCCGATACAAGGATGGATCCTCATAAGAAGTGCCGGAGGAGGTGCTAAGTTTCTGCTTGGTGTCAACAGGGGTGGCTGATGGTTTATAGGACGTCATGCCAGCACGTTCAATGATCTCTGAAGCATAAGTGCTTTGACTGAGAAATATGCCATTAGGATGACGAGAGACTGCAATACCCAGAAAGTAACTCAGAGGGCCCAAATCCTTCATTGCAAACTCAGATGCTAAGAGTGACATAATTGATTTGCAGAGGACCTGAGTGGAGGTGATAAGGATGATGTCGTCTACATACAGTAGAATGTAGGCCATGTCTAAACCTTGGCGATATATAAAGAGGGAGTGGTCTGATGTGCTATGGCGAAAACCAATGGTGGCGACATAGTCAGCAAAACGTTGGTACCATGCCCTAGGCGCTTGCTTGAGACCGTATAATGACTTCTTCAACTGACATACATAATCTGGATGACGGAGGTCGCGGAAACCCAATGGCTGATGCATGTAAACAGTCTCCTGAGATCACCATGTAAAAAAGCATTCTGGACATCCAATTGATGAATGGGCCAGGATTTGGAGAGAGCAATGGTAAGCACAGTTCGAATGGTAGCGGGTTTCACTACGGGGCTGAAAGTC